ACCTCCGCCTTCTGGGTTCAAACGATTTTCTTGCCTCAGCCTCCCAAGTAGCTGGGATTACTGGCGCCTGTCACCATGCCTGGCTAATTTTTGTAATTTTAGTAGAGATGGGGTAGCACCATGTTGGCCAGGCTGGTCTCGAACTCCCTGCCTCAGGTGATCCACCCACCTTGGCCTCCCAAAGTGCTGGGATTAAGGGCGTGAACCACCATGCCTGGCCTGTAGTTTCTTCTTTGCCCTTCCTCTTGGTTCACTCACTTGGCTAGAAAACAGCTACCTTTTTTTTTTTTTTTTAAAGGATTCTTGATCAGCACTATGGAGAGGCCCATGTAGTTGGAAAATGAAGTCTTCTGCCAATCAGCAATACATTGGCCAACAGGCAATAAGGAAATGAGGCTTCTTGCCAAAAACCACGAATGGGCCACCTTGGAAGCAGATACTCCAGCCCTGGTCAGGTTTTCATATGGCTTCAACCTCAGTTAACATCTTGACCCATTTTTGATCCTGAGCCAGAACTACCCAGCTAAATGCTCCTGAATTCCTGACCCACAGAAACTGTGAGATAACTGTTTATTTTTCCAAGCTGTTAAGTTTTGAAGTAATTTATTATGTAGCAATAGATAATTAACACAGTCAAACTACCAAAGCTTACTCAAGAAAAGCTACACAATGGAGTAGTCCTATATCCATGAAAGAAATGGAATTTGTGGTTAAAACCTTTCAAAAGAGAAAACTCCAGGTCTGGATAGTTTCACTGTTGTATTCTATCAAGCATTTAAGAACGAAAGAAAAAAATGCCAGCTATTAGCTTAATTGTTGCTCCTTTCAAAGTAATATTTATTTTGGCCGCTTTATACTTTTTCCATCTTTGGTTATCAGCAGTTTTACAATGGTGTAATTTCATGTGGTTTTCATTTTATTTATCCTGTTTGGGGTTTATGAGGGTTCTTGAATCTGAGGTTTGACGTCTTTCAATTTTGTTTTTTACAAATTTTAAAAATATATTTTTTGTATTCTGTTTGTTTTACCCAAGTCCTGCCTCAGGATCTATCTTTCGATTTTGTAAAGTTTTATTATTATTATTATTATTTTTTTTTTGAGACGGAGTCTCGCTCTGTCGCCCAGGCTGGAGTGCAGTGGGGCAATCTGGGCTCACTACAAGCTCCACCTCCCGGGTTCCCGCCATTCTCCTGCCTCAGCCTCCCGAGTAGCTGGGACTACAGGCGCCCGCCACCACGCCTGGCTAATTTTTTGTATTTTTAGTAGAGACAGGGTTTCACCGTGTTAGCCAGGATGGTCTCGATCTCCTGACTTCGTGATCCACCCGCCTTGGCCTCCCAAAGTGCTGGGATTATAGGCATGAGCCACCGCGTGCAGCCAATAATTATCTCTTAAACTATTGCTTATGTTTCATTTTCCTTCTCCTCTCTTGGGACATAAATTTCCTCTGTTATATCTTCTTACTAAATCTATGTCTCAACTTTTGTATTTTTATTATTTTGTCTCTCTGCATCATTCTGGATTTTTTCTTGTAACTTGTGTTCATTCACCAATTCTTTCTTCAGCTATGCCTGTTCTGTCAATTCTATCCATCAAGCTCCTAATTTCAACCATACTATTTTCAGTTCTAGTGTTTCCTTTAAAAATTTTTTTAAATTGACGCAAAATAATTGTACATATTTATGACATATATGGTGATATTTTGATACATTTACTGTATAGTGATTAGATCAGGGAAATCAGCATATTCTTCAACTCAAAGTATTTCTCATTTGTGTTGGGAACATTCAATATCCTCTATTTGGAAATATATATTATTATTAACGATAGTCATCCTACAGTGCAGAAGAATGCTAGAACTTATTTCTCCCATCTAGCTGTTTCATTTTGTTTTTAATATAATTTTCAATGCTTTGCCAAAATTCTTGTAAGTTTAATTTTTTTTTAAGCTTGTCTCTGAAAACTCCAATATCTGGAGGTCCCTACAGATGTTTAAATAGAAGCTTCTGCTGGTGTTCACTCATGTCTCTTTGTGTGGCTACTTTTTATTGTGTGTTCTACAGTGCACCTGCAAAACTATTTGTACATTCTGAGGCCTAATTTGTTAGTTTTCTACATTGTATAACAATATTACCACAAATCTGGTGTCTTAAGAATAAGACACATTTATTATCTCACAGGTTCTGTGGGTCAGGAGTCCAAGCACAGATTTAGCTGGCTTCTTTCTGTTTCCTGGTCTCAAACGGCTGCAATCAAGGTGTTAGCCAGAGCTGAGGTCTCAGCTAGGGCTCCACTGAACCAGGATTCACTTCCAAAATAACAAGGTTGTTGGCAATCTTCAGTTCCTAGGACACTACTGGAACAAGGATCTGTTTTCTTGCTGACTACTGGCTAGAGGCCACCCTTAGTTTCTTGACATGAGGCCGTCTCCAGTGGCTGGTTTACAGCATGGCAGCTTGCTTCTTCAAAGTCAACAAGAGTCTCTCAATAAGATGAATATTAAATTTGGTGTAATCATGTCCATCTCATCATCTTTGTGGTAGTCTATGAATTAGAATCAAGTCATAGGAGTCTCCCTCCACACAAGGAATACCAGGGGACAGGGATCATAGTGGCCACCTTAGAGTCTGTCTGCTACACCTAGGATGTTAATTTCTTCCTGAAAAGCAAATGTACATTTGCTTCTGCCATGTATCTGGGAGCTCTAAAAACCTTAGATAACCTCAATCTAATTTCAGAAACTGAGGGTATTTGAAGCTGAGCTGCCATCCCTTTGAAGGCCTGCTTACTTCTGGACCATTGTTACTCCTAATGAGTAGCCATTTGGGATCCTCACCCCAAGTAAGGGAAAGGGTTTACCAGTGCAGGTCCCTTCTTCCTTGTCCCATGAGGTTATCAAAATGGCCATTCAACATCTGAGCAATCACTTACCACTTACAGAACTGGCCAACACAAGGGAAAACGGCTCCCCTAACAAAGTTTCTGTTTCCTTAGGAATTCTTCATTGTTGCCAGCTCGCTGATGTCTTCAACTAGGTGTTTTTAATTAATTTATCTTTTTTTTTTTTTAAGAGATGGGGTCTCCCTATGTTCCTGAGGCTGTTCTCAAACTCCTGAGCTCACGTGATCCCCTCGCCTGGGCCTCCCAAAGTGCTGGGATTAAAGGTGTAAGCCACGACACCCAGCCCAGATGTTTTTAAAATTTTGTTCAGCTGCCAGCTTTTATAGATATTCTCAGTGAAGATCTAGGACAAATTTCTTGGTCTACCATCATTGTAAATGAAAGCCTTTATTTTTATTTATTGTAGAGATGGGGTCTCCCTATATTGCCCAGGCTAGACTTGAACTCCTGGCCTCAAGCGATCCTCCTACCTTGGCTTCCCAAACTGCTGGGATTACAGGTGTGAGCCATTGTGCTCAGCCTACTTTTTTATATCCAGCATTTGGAGAGGGCCACATGGCAAGAAATTAAGTCAGCAAGAAAACAGATTCTTGTTCCAGTAGTTTGCTAGGAACTGAATACTGGCAACAACTCTTATTTTGGAAGTGAATCCTGCTTCAGTGGAGCCTCAGCTGAGACCTCAGCTCTGAACACATCTGAAACACAGATGTGTTTCAACATAATCTAACCTAAAGCAAAACAAAGATTTTTCAACCTAGAAAAAAGATTAGCGAGTAGTAATTATATTGAATATTTCTATTTCTGGAGCTTTCCATAATTTGGAAAATACAATATATTAAATACTGCATTTATATGGCTAAAACATGAATCTAGAAATTAGCATGGACTTATAAAACATTTTAGATCGGTTGATATTTGCTAATATCCCTATATTAAAGTCTTAAATATTAAGTATTGCTGCAAATTATATATAGTATTGAATTGCTCAAAACTGCATTGCCAAACATAAACAACACACTGATTAAACTAGCTACTGTAGTTGTCTATGGTGCCAAGATATAAAGTTAGAATATTTGAAGGATATTAATAGTATAATAGTACTTCATTTCAAATGGAAAGTCTGAAATTGATGAAAACTTCAACAATAGATACTGCATCCCTATCTTTAAAATACACTGGTTTGGGAGGATATTATATAAATTTGGCAGCCTTTTATTCTTATGTGAATAAAGCATCAGGCTTTATTTTTTAAGATCTGTAACTACTGGACATACTTTCAAAATAAGTACTGGCCATGGTGGCTCATGCCTGTAATCCCAGCACTTTGGGAAGCCAAGGCAGGAGGATCACTTGAATCCAAGATTTTGAGATCTGTGCAAAGTAGTGAGACCTCATCTCCAACAAAAAATAACAAAACAGCTGGCATGGTGGCGCGAGCCTGTAGTCCTAGCTCCTCAGGAGGCTGAGGTGCGAGGATCACTTGAGTCCGGGAGGTTGGGGCTGCAGTGTGCGAAGATCAAGTCACTGCAATCCAGGCTAGGTGACAGAGACCTTGTCTCAAAAGAGGAGGAATATCTAAAAGAATAAAATATGCTTACTTGCTCGAGAAATAAATTTAAAAATATAACCTATCAACCACCTTTAATGGAGACCACTAGCTGTACCTACCTCAATTCTGTACTTTTTCCCCCAACTTTTCCTGGGCACGTGACTACCTGGAATGAAAGCTGTATTTTCCATCTTTCTTTGCTATTTACAAGTAAGGCATTATGACAAAATTTGGCCAATGATACTTCAATAGAAGTATTGGGTACAACTTCTGGGAAATTTCTTTAGACAGGGAATGTAACTTTCTCACTGCCCTCCTTGCTGGCCAGAGTGCTGCTGTGAGGGCTAGAGCTTCACCAGCAACCTTGGATCAAGGGTTGAATGCCAAGTGCTGAGGTTGGTAGACTAATACAGCAACTTGAAATACTTACCTCTGGAATTCTTTTATGTGAGAGGAAAAAAAAATTCTCTGTCTGTTTTTTTTAAGCCTCTGGTATTTGGGGTTTTAGTTTTATGCTGCTGAACCTAATCTTAAGTGATACACTTTGCAATTGCTGGCATATTAATTAATCCTTTATTAGAAATTGTAAATGAGAAATTATATCAACACCTGAGGACCAAACTACAACAGAATATTCCATAGGCTCAAGATTTTGAGACATTCTGGAAAGAGTTTTCTGTAAGGTATATCCTTTCCGTGGCATGGCAACATCATCATTCTTTAAAAAGGTGACTGGACAGACATCATTTCCACCATCACCAATATAAACAATTTGTGTATAATTCACTCCCTGTTGTAACTGTTTATCTACAAATTCTATCAAAACTACCTTTTTGCAAAGATTCTTTGGGCATCTATTGCAAGAATGAGTATGATAATTTTCCACAGTGAGATGACCACTGCTATTAAAAGCTGCTGGATTTGTAAACACTTTATCAAATACATCATGAAAACTGGCAGCTTTTAAAACCCAATCTATGAAGACCGAATTTGAATCTGAAATAATAATGCAGTCAAATTTATCCTTATTCTTTCTTATAAAGTTGAAGAGTTCCACCATCCCTGGAGTGAAAGGCAATGATGTCACTGCTCTTTTCATTTCATGTTCTCTTACACCTTTATCTCCCAAATACTTAAAGACTCTGCCCATAAATTCTGTCCAAAATCCTTTTTGATAAGAATCACGTAGTTCAATAGGAAGTTTTTTGTTGGGAGCACATTGTACAATCCAAGTGTCACTATTGTCATCTATGATCGTATTGTCAAAGTCAAAAACTAGCAAAATTTTCATGGTTCCAGAAGTAGATATGGATTATCCTGAAAAAGAAAAAATATTATTCTCTAAACAAACTCTGTTTACATATCTAACTAAAACACTTATTTAATAAACATAACTAAATGTTAATATGTTAAAAGAAGGAATATAAACAAAGTGATTAAGCACTTCGAGACCACTACCTAACCACTTTTCTCTAAGAAGCAAAGTTCATATTTGAGTATTTTAAGTGGAAAACAAAATATATAAAAAGGACATTCATAGTATTATTGTGTTCCTGGGGGTGTGTTTCTTATAGGAGTTATAAGAAAGAAAAAAAAGGCATTCTTACTATGATCACATTATCAATCAAACCACACTTATTTTATTAGATTAAAATATTTACAATCCTCATATTAAATAATAGGTCATGTATAAAGGATTCTCTGTGTACTACCCAAAATCCTGAACAAATTTAACATACCATGAAATCTTGCAAGATGTAAAATAATTTTTTAAAAAAGGTATTTGCTAACAAAAACAAGTGGGGAAAGGATTCCCTATTTAATAATGGTGCTAGGATAGCTGGCTAGCCATATGCAGAAAACTGAAACTGGACCCCTTCTTTACACCATATACAAAAATCAACTCAAGGTGGATTAAAGACTTAAGTGTAAAACCCAAACTATAAAAAAACCTAGAAGAAAATCTAGGTGATACCATTCAGGACGCAGCACAGGCAAAGATTTCATGACAAAGATGCCAAAAGCAAATGCAACAAAAGCAAAAATTGACAAATGGTATCTAATTAAACTAAAGAGCTTCTGCACAGCAAAAGAAACTATCAACAGAGTAAACAGACAACTTAGAGAATGGGAGAAAATTTTTGCAATTTATCCATCTGACAAAGGTCTAATATCCAGCAATTATTATAAAGTTGAAAAATTATACCATCCCTGAAGTGAAAGGCATTGATGTCACTGCGCTTTTCATTTTATATTACACCTTTAGCTCCCAAATATTTAAAGACTCTGCTCATAAAATCTGCCCACAATCCTTTTTGGTAAGAATCATGTAGTTCCTTGTTAAGGAACTTAAACAAATTTACAAGAAAAAACAAACAGCCCCATTAAGAAGTGGGGAAAGGACACAAACAGACAATTCTTGAAAGAAGACAATACATGTGCCCAAGAAATATATGAAAGAAAAAAAAAAGCTCAACATCACTGATCATTAGAGAAATGCAAACTAAAGCCACAATGAGATACCATCGTATACTAGTCAGAACGGCTATCATTAAAAAGTCAAAAAACAACCTGGCAAGGTTGTGGAGAAAAAGGAACGCTTTTACACTGTTGGTAGGAGTGTAAATTAGTTCAACCATCGTGGAAGATAGTGTGGTGATTCCTCAAAGACGTAGAGGCCGAAATACCACTTGACCCAGCAATCCCATTACTGGGTATATACCCAAAGGAATATAAATCATTCTATTATAAAGATACATGCATGCATATGTTCACTGCAGCACTGTTCACAATAGCAAAGACATGGAATCAACCTAAATGCCCGTCAATGATGGACTGCATAAACAAAATGTGGTACTTATACACCATGGAATATTATGCAGCTATAGAAAGGAATGAGATGATTTCCTTTACACGGACATGGATGGAGCTGGAAGCCATCATCTTCAGTGAACTAACACAGGAACAACAACAACAACAAAAACAAACACCACGTGCTCTCATTTATAAGTGGGAGCTGAATCATGAGAACACATGGAATGGAACAACATACACTGGGGCCTGTTGGAGGGTTGGGCGTAGGAGGAGGCAGAGCATCAGGAAAACAGCTAGTGGATGCTGGGCTTAATACCTAGGTGACGTGATGACCTGTGCAGCAGAGCATCATGGCACACGCTTACCTATGTAACAAATCTACATATCCTGCACATGTACCCCGAACTTAAAAGGTAGAAATCAGAAAAATTTAAAAAAGAAGGTATTTAGTTTAAAATCAATTTCTAAATGCCAATATTATAATTAAATAATTGCTGACACTCTATATGATAGTCTAAACAAATTACCTGAGAACTGAAGGCCAATTCTTCCAAACTAGAAGTAACTTGGTTAAGAGTTTTCACATGTTTATCTATATCTGCTCTAGATAGTTTAGCTCTGGGGTGCCAAATAATTTGAATACACCTGAGTAATCATATTGTTTGTGGTGTGACACTTATGTCTCTGTTTTCATTAGAAGATAATGAAAGTGATTAATTATAAATCTCAAGAGAAAAGGAAAGAATAAGCCAGTCAACTGATGGTAAGAATAAACATTATTTATAAAAAATAACTATATAGAATATCCAGAAAAGGATATAATTAATGTGTGTAAACAGATAATAACAATAATTTTGAGAGTCATTATATGTCAGGTACTGGCCTAAAAACTTTGCAGTATCATACCATTTAATTGTCATAACCCTATTAAGTAGGAATCATTATTATCCTCATCTTAAAGATGTATAAGCTGGATCTTAAAGTGGTTAGGTGTTAGTAAAGTGCCAGAGCTGGAATCTTAGGTTGATTTGATTCCAAACTTAATGCTTTTAAGTACCAAATTCAAGTGTTAAAAAATAGAATTAAAGGCCAGGCGCTGTGGCTCACACCTGTAATCCCAGCACTTTGGGCGGCCGAGGCGGGCGGATCACGAGGTCAAGAGATCGAGACCATTCTGGCCAACATGGTGAAACCCCATCTCTACTAAAAGTACAAAAAAAAAATTAGCTGGGCATGGTGGTGCTCGCCTGTAGTCCCAGCTACTCAGGAGGCTGAGGCAGGAGAATTGCTTGAACCCAGGAGGCGGAGGTTGCCGTGAGCCAAGATCGCGCCACTGCACTCCAGCCTGGCGACAGAGCAAGAATCTGTCTCAAAAAAATAGAACATTTAATGACTACTCATTAGTTTAAAAATAAAATACTAAGTAGGTCATTTCGGCAGAAAGATATTTAATTACATAAAAACATTCATTAGTTTCAAAGTACACACTAACTGTAACACCACATCGGTGATACACTTTATAACCATTTTGAGGTTTCTACAAGAAATCCTAAAAAGACAAAGAACCCAAGCAATAAGAAAAAGATCAATTAAAAATGAAAGACATGGCATTTAGCCACACATATTCTCCACTTTATAACAGTTGATACCCAGTAGTGAAGACAGAATAGAGCTCTTGACTCACATAAGACTAAGTATTCTGTGTCTCTTAATTTAGAATATCTAGAGAATAATTAACCTACAGGGGTATCACCTGTTGTGTGAATGTGGATGATACATAATATTTTGTCACTCTGGATCCTTGTATCACTAAATGCCTAATCCAGATGCTTCTGACTGGTTCCCTGAGATTTAAATGCAGAATTCACTTTCCTACAGAAACAATGTAATAAATAATAAGGCATAATTGACAATCACATTAGTACTGTAACTAGGCATGTTTTAAATTAAATATGCTTTTTGAGAATTCTGAATTTATAATTAAAACAAATTTCAAATGTAACTCACTGTTGGTTGAAAACTGCCTCAAGCCTAAACTTAATTAGCCACAAATTACTGAAATTCCTGAATTATTAGCCTCAAAATAGCATGAGACTGAGGTAACAGTTCCCCTGCTGATCTGAAAGTGCACTTTAAAAATTTCACCTTTTTCTATTAGTATTTTCTCACCATTCAACACAAACCTTTATAAAAATACTTACCCAACTTAGTATTTCCAAGACAATCTTACTTCAGCATTGGGATTAGGATAAACAATCACGACAATCTTCAGTCTTAAACACCAGCCAGTTGTTTTCAAACATTACTCCTATTCTATATACAGGGAACAGAGTCTTCTGGTTTGGAGCAAAATAATGGAAACTTCTTAACTCCTAAAATTAATAAAAGTATTTTAAAAGCTTTAACATTTGTATTTTCTAATTATGTTGTTTTTCTTATGTCAGGAAAGTATCTCTTGGCAATAGGAGAACAAAGTTTTGCTTTCCACTTGGTATTGACTTGGTGTCGAAAATAAGAAATGTTACGTGAAAATAAGTTTTTGTCCAGTGGATAAAATCATAGTGCTAAGCTGACTGAGATTTTTCAGAGTCCATTTTTTTCTTTTTACTTGTTTAATAATAGAGGAATTCCACATTCTGTTGTCAATAGACATTTAGAGATTTAGTGCTGCATTAGAAATTAAAATGTCTCTAAAAATTAAGGATATGCACAAAGATTTAGTTTTAAGAATGTGAATCTATTTTGAAACCAATCTGTTAAAGTTCCAAAAAGAGTTAACGGTTCTCTTCAAAAGCACAATCTATGTCCATTTGGTATGTCTGCAATGTTTCCATAGTGTAACAATATCCTGTGTACTTTACACAATGAAAATTAGAAACTACGGCCGGGCGCGGTGGCTCAAGCCTGTAATCCCAGCACTTTGGGAGGCCGAGACGGGCGGATCACGAGGTCAGGAGATCGAGACCATCCTGGCTAACACAGGGAAACCCCGTCTCTACTAAAAAAATACAAAAAAATAGCCGGGCGAGGTGGCGGGCGCCTGTAGTCCCAGCTACTCGGGAGGCTGAGGTAGGAGAATGGCGCAAACCCGGGAGGCGGAGCTTGCAGTGAGCTGAGATCCGGCCACTGCACTCCAGCCTGGGCGACAGCGCGAGACTCCGTCTCAAAAAAAAAAAAAAAAAAAAAAAAAAAAAAAAAAAAAAGAAAATTAGAAACTACACAGACATCCAAGAATTGGGAAATAATTAAATAAGATATGCATGTGACAGCATATAATAGAATATCCAGCCAGGAAAAGCTAAGATATTCAGTTCAAATTAAATAAGCAAGTCACAAAATAGTGTGTACAGTATAATCCTGTTGTTTTAGAAAATGTTTACATGTGCGGTGGAATGGTTATGGTTGGTTCAACCATAGTTCACACTTTTTCTACATTGATTTTTTAATAAAATTTTTTTTCTTCTCAGAATAATTTAAACTGTTTCAGATCAGAGTGCATATGCTACCTTATTAAATTTACAACAAAGAAAAAAAAGAGTGGTGGGTATAGAACAAACAACTCTAGATTGACTTGGATTGTGGTTGGAGTTGGAAGCTCGAGTCTGAAGTCAAATTATATCTGACCACCATGTCAAATTGGCAAGTAACTGACATCAAATCATGAGATTCGACACTTTTTGTAACCAATTTTGTTAAAATTCCAGAGAATTTTTGTTGGGGGACAATTCTCCCTGCGTCTCTGGTGGTTGTGCATGTCTTACTGACTGCTCTTTCCACTATTGTTTCAAGGATGTTTCTACAGTGGACAGCCTTGAGAAACATGCTTATTTGTCCAAATGATAAAGATCTGGGTTCCCTAAGCTCAGGGCTGCTTTCCTGTAATTCAACATACTTTACATCTAGGTGACTTCTTGCCCACTTTGCATTATCCTGTGGGAACTGGGGCTTTAGGGAACTCAGGCAAAATTGCTGATATACTGGCTACTGCTGGGAGTAATTCATTCCTGAAACGAATAGTCTTCTGTCCTCCATGAAACTGCCAGGCTAAGTTAGCCTGCAAACAGGGTAAAATCTCTGTTCCTTCCCAGTTCTTGACACTTTGGCACTGCAAGCTCCGCCTCCCGGATTCACGCCATTCTCCTGCCTCAGCCTCCTGAGTAGCTGGGACTACAGGCGCCCCCCACCACGTCCGGCTAACTTTTTTTGTATTTTTGGTAGAGACAGGGTTTCACCGTGTTAGCCAGGATGGTCTCCGTCTCCTGACCTCGTGATCTGCCTGCCTCGGCCTCCCAAAGTGCTGGGATTACAGGCGTGAGCCACCGCGCCTGGCCCCCAGTTCTTGACTTTTTAAGGTATGCTTCCAAAAACCTACCAGCGCTCTATGTGCACAAACTAATTTATGTCTACAAATATTTTCTTAATTATTCCATACTTACCAGCATTATTACGTAGAACATCTGATAGAAAACCTAAAGAAAAATAGCACGACTGTGTGTTAGGACGTTCGTTATTAAAAATCTTTTTGTTCTTTCACTTTGAGAGACTCCAGTTTGGTGCATTATGTGTACACATCAGAGCCAACTTGTTAGTAATGAAGTTATCTGTACATCAATGTATTAGAAAAGGATCTTTTGAAACCAAACGCGCAGCTACTCCTAACAGATTTCTGTGGTCCTGTATTTACCAATAAATTTAAAATATCTCAAAGGTCCTAACATAAATGTTCTAAGCATATCATTAAGTTTTAACATTCCTATTTTTAAAAAACTTGGCCCCATCTAGTCCTGACCATGCCCCAGAAACCAAAGGATTAAAAAAAACGGCGTTTATGTCAGCGAATCCGCGGGTTTTTATAGTTAAGGAAGGGCTTTGCTCCTCACATTCCACCCGCGAGGAGATCGGGGACACACAAACCACGGCTAGGCCTCGCGCGCTCACACACCTGCCGGCTCCACCCCGAGGGTAGGCATCGGACCCAATCGGAGGTCGTTCCCCATGGAGCGCGCAGCAGGCGAGGATGGGAGTAGCAGGCAGGGCGGGGGTCCACGGCCTTCTCACTGACCCAGGCCCGCCGTCTGCAGCCGCCCCGGCGCCTGTGACGCTCCTGCGGGTTCAGTCCTTTGGCCTCGCCCCACGCCTGCCCGCTGGGCAGCCCCACTCACAAGCCCAGCTCGCAGGCGCGGGCGCAGGCGCCTCTCTTGTCTAGCCCGACCGCCAACTGCAGCGCCTTCCTTGTTCCTCGGCGACGGCTGGCGTCACTTCCGGCGGCGTTGCCAAGCAACCGCGTGGTTCGAGTAACAACGTCCACCGGCTGGAGTCCGCGGCGCATGGCGCTACAGTCACTTTTCCAGATCTGGGCGCACCGTGGACACCTCGTCAGAGATGCTGGTACGGTTTGGACGACGCTGTGGACAGGCGAAGGAAAGTACAGGTGAGCTACACTGACTTATCCAGGGACAGGGATTGTTTCTGGATCCCCGGCATGGAGTGAGAGGCGAGGATGCCGAATGAGAGCTTCAGCTGCTTTTTGAAATGGACTCCATCAAGTCGAAAGCATCCTCAATAAGCATCTTTGGGCTCTGTGTAAAGTTAGGCCATCTTGCCCTCAGGTGAATGGATGAAGGAGGGAAACGAGGAGTGGAAGTGGGTGGGAGAATGTTTACAGAAATAGGGGTGGAGAAAAGATAGGAAATCAGAGACCCCCCACCCCCAGCTAACCTAAAACTGCGCAGTTGCAGCTCTGAGAATCTGGGCTTTGTTAAATTTCCGGCACGCTTAAAGTTTGTTATTCACTGATTGAATTGGAATATCTCTTGGAAATATAAGTCCCCTCTTTAGAGTCTTGGCTCTGCTGCAAACTTGCTGATTGGTCTTTACTAAAAGTCTCTGAAGGAAATTCTCCATTTCCTCCTCTCTAAAGTAAATATAAGGTATCTCTCTAAGTCAAATGCTTGCATAGAGTTTAAAAAAAAAAAATCGTGCGACATAAAGTATTGTAATTCAGATGACCTGTTATAACAATTTGATTTTGGAATAGAAATAGACTTCTAAAGAACTCTATCAATTCTAGCTACGACAGTTTCTTAAGTCTGTAAATTGGCAATTAATGTAGTCATGGTGACAACTAGAACTTTGGCAGTTTGAAGTATCTTCATGTCATTGCCCGAACTTCTGTAGCAATAGTGCCCCCTGCACCAGATGCAGAGTGAGAGCCAGTCATTCTTCACTAGTGGATATTTATGCAGTGGAGGTTTCATGAGGTTAGCAGCGGACTTTTGCCATGTAAAAGGAAAGAAACAGTATCAATATGGCAAGTATTGGAAAAGCACAATTACTCCCACATATTCACTTTCCTGCATATGCATTTCTGCACTACCTGGTTTAGATTTACCTAATAGTTGTTAAATAATGTTTTGTGTCAGCTAGCTCACAAGCCTCCATCCGAGCCTCGCTGCTAAATTTTAATCTCCATTTTTAGGGGAAGGCTAAGTAGGAGAGGGTTTCAGAGATGTGTGCAACTATTTGTAAAACAAATACTTTATCAAGATTTAGTGGGGTGACATCAGCCAGAATAGTGAAATAGGATCTATGCCTGAAATCCTGTCCTCCATAAAATCAACAAGAACAGTGGCAAAAATAATCCGTATCGACTTTTTCAAAACACTGGAAATTAACCAAAGGCTTGCAACAATATGTGGAGTGTTTACTAAAGAAAAACAGCTGGATTTTTGTAACAACAGCGAGGTTTTTGGCATTTTAACTTGCCATAGTCCTATACTTTTCTCCTAGCCCCATGGCAGCCTAGATAACCACAGCAATCACAGTGAAAAATACTGACTTAACAACTTGTAGAGGGGACAAAACAGAATTTGACCCACTCCAAAGCCAGACAACTGTTATTCGACATGTCTCATAGTTCTTTGGAGAATCTCACTCATGAGGCTTATTGTTATTTAGTCTGACTTCAGACTCACCAAGTATGTTTGTCAAATGATCAGTGGCAATTTTAAATATCACAGCTATCAGAGGCAGTGCTATAGTTTTAATGTGTCCTCTAAAAAGCATATGTGGGAACTTAATCCCCAATGTAAAAATGTTGGGAGGTAGGGACTAATGAGAGGTGATTAGGCCATGAGAGCAGAGTAAAGGGATTAATGCCATTATCTGGGGAGTGGGTTCATTATAAAAGTGGGAAAGTTGGCCCTCTTCTCTCTCTCTCTCTCTCTCTCTGTGCGTGTGTGTCTGTTGCCCTCTCTTTGCCCTTTTGCCATGTAATGCCTTCCATCATGTTATGATGAGGCACGAAGGCCACTGCCAGATGCTGGCACCTTGATACTGGCTTTCTCAGCCTCCAGAACCATAAGCCAATAAATATCTATTCTTTATGAATTACCCAGCCTAAGGTATAAGGTATTCTGTTATAACAGCATGAAACAGGCAGGCAGTGATACAGTTGGGAGGCAAACAACACGCTGACCAAAAAACTTAAAAGGATCAGCTGGAAAGTGATATGTCCATAGGAGGTTTTGGAAAACTCCTGACATATTCCTGGGAATCTAGAAGGCCAAATGCATGCATAGAGCTACATACATGTCCAGGAAAGACCTGAAAATGCCTCTCACCTATGACTTACCTTGAGACTCTGTTTAAGAAAGAAGTAAAAGCTAAGATGGAGTTGTAAATTGCCTGCCCGAGCATTGAAGGCATGCCTTAATGCTCATAGACAGTCCCTTGGCAAAGACTGGGAGACTTGTCAGTTCCAGTCATCCAAAGATATATCTGTCTAGTTATTAGCTGACCACTAAGCAAACCAGAGACTCCAGTGACTCCAGTGGTCACATGTGACAAAGAATACAGACTACAGAATTGGTTCAGAGAAGTCATGAAACAACAACAGCAGGAATAAGAAACTTTGGGTGTATGTGGAGATCTGATTTCCAGAGTTGAAACATATATGTTTTTAATAAAAATTATGAAAGATGAAAATAAATAAAGTATGACCCAAACATAAGAAAAAGTTTCAGTAGAAAGTGTCTTTGAAATGGACTCCACCAAGTTGAAAGCATCCTCAATAATCATCTTTTGGCTCTGTGGAAGTTAGGCCATTTTGCCCTCAGGTGAGTGGGTGGAAGAGGGAAAGGGGCTGTGGAAGTGGCAGGGAGGATGTCTACAGAAGCAGGGGTGGAGAAAAGGTAGGAAATCAGAGACCCCCCTAACTGACCTAAAACTGTGCAGTTGCGGTTGTTGTAAGCCCAGATATTGGATTTACTAGATAAAAACTTTTGTAAATTTATAGCTATTGTAAATATATTTAAAGAACTCAAGCAAAAGTCTAAAGAACTATAGAAAAGTATTAAGAATGTTGTCTTACCAAATAGAGGATATCAATGAAGATTTTAAAAAATTATAAAAAGGAACTGAACAGAAATGTTGGAGTTGAAAAGCACAATAACTGAATTAAAAAATTCACTAGAGGGATCAATAGCAGATTTGAACTTGTGGAAGAAATAATCAGTGAACTTGAAGATAAGCCAATTGAGATTATTCAGTCTCAGAATAGTGAGAAAGAAAAAAAGATAAAAGAATGAAGAAGCCGGGCGTGGTGGCTCATGCCTGTAATCCCAGCACTTTGAGAGGCTGAGACGGGCAGATCACGAGGTCAGGAGATCGAGACCATCCTGGCTAACACGGTGAAACCCCGTCTCTACTAAAAATACAAAAAAAAATTAGCCAGGCATGGTGGTGCGTGCCTGTAGTCCCAGCTACTCAGAGGCTGAGGCAGGAGAATGGCGTGAACCCAGGAGGCAGAGCTTGCAGTGAGCCGAGATGGTGCCATTGCACTCCAGCCTGGGCGACAAAGCGAGACTCCATCTCAAAACAAAACAAAACAAAACAAAACAAAAAGAGTGAAGAAAAACGAGCCGATTTTCAGGGAAGTGTGGGTCACCAGCAAATATGCCAACATAAATGTAACTTGAGTTCTGGAAGGAAAAGAGCAGGGAAAGGGGTAAAAACATTTGAAGAATTAATGGCTAAAAGCTTTCCAAATTTGATGAAAAGCATTACACATTCAAAAGGCTCAGTGATCCTCTAAGTATGGTCAACTCAACTCAAAGAGATCCACAGCTGTACACATCATGATCAAACTGTTGAAAGCTAAAGACAGAAAAAACCTTGAAAGCACAAGAGAGAAATGACATTACATAAAAGGAATCCTCAATAAGATTAACAACAAATTTCTTATAAGAAATTATGGAGTCCAGGGGCAGCAGGCTGATATATTCAAAGTACTGAAAGGAAAAGTCTTCAAGAATTCTTTTTTTTTTTTTTTTTTTTGAGATAGAGTCTTGCTCTTGTCACCCAGGCTGGAGTGTAGTGGCATGATCTCAGCTCACTGCAACCTCTGCCTCCCAGGTTCAAGTGATTCTCCTGCCTCAGCCTCCTGAGTAGCTGGGATTACAGGCACCCACCACCATGCCTGGCTAATTTTTGTACTTTTAGTAGAGACGGGGTTTCACCATGTTGGCCAGGCGTGTCTCAAATTCCTGACCTCAGATGATCCCACCTTCAGTTATTAATTGAAAAAATTATCACAAAGAAAAACTGAGGGCCAGATGGCTTCGTTGGTTAATTCTAAATGTTTAATGAAATATTAACATAAATCCTTCAAAATCTTTTTAAAAAATGAGGAAGGAGCACTTTCCAACTCATTCTATAAGGGCAATATTACCCTGATACCAACAGCAGACAAAGACATCACAAGAAAACTATAGATCATTATCTTTTATGAATAGAGATGCAAAAATCTTCAACATAGTTTTAGCACATCAGCTAGATGTGGCACACACCTCCCAGCTACTTGGGAGGCTGAGGTGGGAGGACCACTTGAGGCCAGGAATTTGAGGCTGTAATGTGCTATGGTCACACTTGTAAATAGCCACTGCACTCCAGCCTGGGCAATATAGCAAGACCCCATCTCAAAAAATAAGTTAATTAATTAAATAAAATACTAGCAAACCAAATCCAGCAACATATAAAAATTATTATATACCATGACCAAGTGGTATTTATCCCAGGAATGCAAGGTTGGCTTAAAAACAATTAATGTAGTACACTGTATAAATAGAATAAAGAACAAAACTACATGATTATCCTAATAGAAAAAAACATTTGACAAATCCAACATTCCATTTATGATAAAAACAACAAACTAGGAATAGAAAGGAATTTTCTTAACCTGATAAAGGGGACCTATGAAAAGCCTATAGCTAACATCATAGTTAATGGTGATAGACTGAAAGCCTGATCAGGAAAAGACAAGTATGCCTGCTTTCATCACTTCTATTTAACATCATACTGAAAATTCTAGCCATGGCATTTAGGCAAGCAAAAGAGAAGGCCATCCAGATTGGAAAGGAAAAAATAAAACTT